CCGCTGCAAAATGTACATGTATTAATGTGTGTGCGGGGGGGGGAGATTGAAGTTCAATTGAAAGGTTTGTTGCTGGAAAATTGACTTAGGCCATGTGAAAGGGAAAAAGCTCTGAATAATGAATAAGTTCATCAAAGGAGAGCCAGCTGAATTTATTAATGTTCTGAGGCACCTTTATAATAGTCTGATCCATTTCAAGCCAAACATTGGGTAAGTAGTTTGAGAGGGCCTTCAAATGCGGCCCGCTGACTTTCAATGGCTTACTGCATCACAAAAATGGCCCGGCCCAAACGTCAGCAACATTATAATTTTCCTAATAACAAAATGGAGAAAACTGGCGTAGCGTGGCCTGGCCTGGGGGGACCGGAAAGATGGGACGACGACTTGTCAACCGTTTGACATCGGCAGATGCGACAGCGCCACCGGAAGTTGGCATCCTTCTGCCGTCCCCGCCTAGGGAAAAGTTTTTCCTCGACGGGAGTCAATTTTGATGTTATTTTTTACTGCTAATTGTTTTTCAATTTATGTCGCACAAATTGTTTTATGGAAAGTATTTTGCAGCTTCTCGTGCTAAAGAGTTGATTGCCAGATCTCCGGCGACCCTTAATTACTTAATGGTTGTATCGAGTTTCGGAATGTTCTAACTCAAGTTGTTTGGTCTTTGGGGGGTTTTTTATCAAAGATTAATTTCCATTAATTATTTGAAAATTTGAGCAAGCACTCAAGTGATTTATTTAATTGCAAGTTAACTTCTTTGGAAAGTCTCTGCGACATTAATCAAATCTCTGCTGGGATTAGATGAGGAACTTGACTGATTATTGTGGTCCGTTAATTACTCAATAATTTCGGGGTTGAACACTTTTTGTTTGTGGCTAAATGATTTTCATGGGAAGTTTCTAATTAATCAAATGATTTGACAAAGGCGTTTTCCCCTTTCTATTATTAAGTCAACTTCATTTTGAAAACCGAAGAATGCGAACTTGAAACCTTTTGATAAAAATTTAGTTTTTGTGATTAACTAAAAAAAAAAAACAAGAAAGGAAGCTAACTTCGGCACGCCGAAGTTTGTATACCCTTGCAGATTGGTTTTCATATTTATATTATAAATTATAATGCCGAAAACAGACACTAAACAGAGTTTCATAACATTTTACCTATACTTATTATGTTTACATTTTGACAGTTACAGTTATACATTCCCAGCTTTACATTTTCTCTACATCTACGGATCGCTTCTACGAGCCCCGACCACTATTAATTCGTACGGCAGCTTTTTTACTCGTATAAAATGTTCAGCAAACGATATTGTCCATAATAACGTACACCACATATAATAATGATTTTTTATAGTACTATAACTTTATTCTCTTAAGTTTAAAACAAAAAAATTTATTGTATTTCGACAACAACAACAATAATATTTATTTATTTTAATGTGTTATTAAAATGATAATATAAATTCGACCACTATTAATTCGTACGGTGCCAAAAGCTTAGCTTAGAATTAAAAGAAGATCCAAACAAAAGGAAACAGTGAAACATAATCACTATCTAGTCTTTTGCTGTAAACTGTTTAACAAAGCAGAATGCAAAATAAAGTGCGATTGCTGAAAATTACTCATAGTTAAGCTACAATGGCACGAGGAAAGCCAATTTGCAAGGAAATAAGAATTTTAGTTCTGAATAATTATAAAAATGGGAAAAGTTTCGGTGAAATTGCCAAGCAATTTAATCTGGCTAAGTCGTCCGTTCAGGGAATAATTAAAAAATTTAAGGAAAATGGCAATATTGAAAATAATATCGCAAAAAGAGGCCGAAAATCGGCAATAACAGCACGTGACAAAAGAGCCCTGGCGGCTATTGTAAAGGCTGATCGTCGTCAAAATTTTCGAAATATAGCATCTGAGTGGTCTGATAAAATCGGAAAAGGTGTTAAGCGAGAGTGTACGCGCTTGAAGTTGCGTGAGATCGGATATAAGTTCTATAAGGTATGCACTGTGATAGACTATGTTACATACTTAATAGATTAACTTACTCTTAGGCCAAGGAAAAACCATTGCTTACGCTTCGTCAAAAGAAGAAGCGTTTACAATGGTCACGGGAAAGGATGTCCTGGACTCAAAGGCAATGGAACACTATCATATTTAGCGATGAAGCTAAATTTGATGTAAGTGTCGGCGATGCGCGAAGGAGAGTCATCCGTACTAAAGCCTACCATAAAGACTGCCTTAAAAGAACAGTTAAGTACCCAGCCAGCATTATGGTGTGGGGTTGTATGTCTGCCAAAGGAGTGGGGCAGCTGCACTTTATTGATGGGATGGTCAACGCAGAAAAATATGTTAACATCTTAGAAGAAAGCTTTCTGCCATCAATACCAAAGCTGGCTGACTGTGGCGAATACACCTTTCAGCAGGATGGAGCATCATCTCATACTGCCAAACGAACCAAATCATGGCTGCAGAATATGAACATTGAGGTCTTAGATTGGCCATCAAATAGTCCGGACCTAAGTCCTATCGAGAATATATGGGGAATAATGAAAATAAAACTAAAAAATGAACCTCAAAGAACCCTGTCTGAATTAAAACTTAAAATCCAAGAGGTTTGGGACTCTATTTCAAGAGAGCAATGCCAAAATTTATTAAAATCAATGCCAAATCGTTGTAAATGTGTCGTTAAGGTCAAGGGTGATGTTACCCAATATTAATATTAAAAAACAACCTAGTATTTCGTATAAAAAGTTAATATTAAACGCACCGTACGAATTAATAGTGGTCGTATTTATATCATCAGTTTAATGACACATTAAAATAAATAAACACTATTGTTGTTGTTGTCGAAGTACAATAAATTTTTTTGTTTTAAACTTAAGAGAATAAAGTTATAGTACTATAAAAAATCATTTTTATATGTGGTATACGTTATTATGGACAATATCGTTTGCTGAATATTTTATACGAGTAAAAAAGCTGCCGTACGAATTAATAGTGGTCGGGGCTCGTATGGCAGCTATATGATATAGTTGTCCGATTTACATAAAATTAATACAAAAATTCTATAATAATAAGTAAAGCTCATAACTCAGAGTAGATTAAAATAAGTTGAAAAACAACGAAGTTATACTTTTTTCTATTACTTTCCCTATCGTTCCTATGGCAGCTATAAGATATAGTCGTCCGATGTTCATGAAATTTATACCAAAATTCTAAAATAATACCAGAAGCTTATGTACCAAAGTAGATTAAAATACGTTGAAAAACAACGAAGTTATAATTTTTTTCGATTAATTTCCCGATCGTTCCTATGGCAGCTATAAGATATAGTGGTCCGATTTTCATAAAATTTTTATAAAAATTCTGGAATAATATAAAATGGCCATATCTTAAAAATGATGGAATAATATTAAAAAACAGCCAAGTTATAATTTTTTTTCTAAAAATTTATCGAACATTTGTATGGCAGCTATATGATATAGTCGTCCGATCCGGCCCGTTCCGACATATATAGCAGTGAGAGTATATAGAAGACTATATGCAAAGTTTCATTTAGATAGCTTTAAAACTGAGGGACTAGTTTGCGTAGAAACGGACAGACGGACAGACGGACGGACAGACGGACATGGCTAGATCGACTCGGCTGTTGATGCTGATCAAGAATATATATACTTTATAGGGTCGGAAACGTCTCCTTCACTGCGTTGCAAACTTCTGACTGAAATTATAATACCCTGCAAGGGTATAATAAGTGTATCTGAATAATTTGCATATAATTTATGTTCTTTTTTGCGTCAGTTTCCACATTTCGTGCTATTCTTTAATTTTATTTAACAGATATTAATCGTCAAGCATATTGAGTAAGATTTATTTCTTTTTCCACTGTTTTTTATTAGTAAAACAAAATTGATTACAAATGTATGTCTTGTTCACTTGTACTGAAACTTAATCAATCACGACGAAATTCATTATTTTATAATCAAAATTTTTATTTATATAAATTAAATTAAATAAATTATTAGGTTAATCTATTAAATGCATTGATTATATGCATAATTACATTCAACAAATTAAAAAAAAAGCTATTTCAGCAATTTGTTTTTAAGATGCCTTTATAGATTTTCTTATATGAAAAATCTCAATCTGAAAAATATTAGTTAAGAAGTAATACTTTAACAAAATAGTTTATAAATCCTAGCTTTAGTGTTTAACAACATACAATTAATTCTTTTTAAGATTCTAAAAGTTTAAAAACATCCTTATAACGTTCTTAAAATTCCTAATAAAAACGTAATTATTTGCATCTCATTCTTAGGTGGGAAATAATCAATTTAAAAATAGCTTGGTGAATATTTTTCTTCTGACTAATCACACAATAAAATATTGTTTAATTCTTTCACATATTTAAAGTCGCTGTTTTTAAATCGTTTTAGTCTAGCTGTTTTCTTGAACACTTTACCTATTAGTTTTTTTTTTTCCGATAAAAAAAATAATTTATCTGTTCAATTGATTTAAGTTTATCCGGATTACATTCTTTTATTGTTTTATAATATACCGCAGTATTCCTCATTACCTTTCTGTGCTCAATTACCTAATTTAAATAAATCATAAATTTAAAACCGTTTTTCCACACACACCTCAATAAAGTTATACTTTCACAGACAACTTTTGTTAAAGCCACTTCACTCACAAATGGTTTAAAGATTCTTTTGATTTTTTGAGCTACTTTTGATAATCTTGGTTTGGTCCGTTCAATTTCTGGTTTTAAGCGCGATCCTTGGAACTCGAACGAAGCGCGTTGACTGGAGCTAAGGCCGCAACGCAGCATCCTTAAATAGCGGCTGAACCTCGGTCCAGCATCCGCTAGGCGTTGTTGAAAAGCTCGGCTCCCGAGCTCACCAACAAGCTCCAACTGGCTCGTGTCCTGGCTAAAGCTCCTTCTGGAACAAGGACGGCCTTCTGCTGAAAGTGAAATTTCGCCCAGAGACCAAATGAAACACCAGTTGATTTCCTTTTGTTTATTTATTTGTTTTTCAAGCGGGATATTTGGGTGCGGTCTCGCTTCTCATGCTAATGGCCTCTCGCAGGAATATATATATTTGCAAGATGGATTAGCTTTTAAAGACTTGAATTCTTTTCCATTACTTTGTTCCAACATTCAAGAAAACTAAAAATAATTTTAACAATTAAACTTAGCCTAGGAAGATACCTCCTAATTTCTAGTATACATAGTAAAGAAGAGTTTAGTTTCTGGTCAAACTTCCTCTTTCTCTTTCTCTCTCTCTCTATTAAAAAAAAATATATAGAGAATTCAGGATCTTAGCGCCAATTGCTAATGGTAAATCCCGACGACTTAAATTTTGTATACAGCTTGTTGCTTATTTAGTGACAAGTTAAAATTGGAAGAGCTTACAAATGTCGCACACAAGTCTGACGGGGATTTCTCGGCTTCCTTTTTTGGCTGATCGGATGGATAGTTGTTCATCCCTCGGGTCGTAGTCTCTGCCTTTGATCTTCCAATGTTGGTGATAAATCGGCTCTGGATGGTTGTTGCTGGCTCGTTCTTGTTGTAGTTGCAGTTGTAGTTGGTTGTTGATTGTTGTGGAAGTGATGTTTGTATATAGTTTATATACAGGTATACAATAGAGAGACAGAACATTAGTATAATCTTTTTTGCAAATAATTTAAATAAGACAACAAACATTAATCCTAAATCTTAAAACTAGTTTAAAAATGAAATGAATGAAGGGGGAGCGCATGTATAATGAGTTTAGCTTTAACCACACAGCGAAAAACAGCACACACAGCACTTGGGCTCTTGGAGTTTTGTGTTGGCATCTGATGTTCGTCTGGTTGTCTATTATTTCGTGTTAGTTTTGTGTTTGGTGGAGTTCTTGTTATTAATGGTCTTATTGTTGCGATTTCACTTTAGGTCTGGACTTGGGTTCATTGGAGGGTGTTTTCCGGTTGCAGGTTACTTTTTTTGGTTCAATTTAAATGAGTATTTCGGGTATCTTGCAGGCATCTCCTATATGTAGATATAGGAATTTGTTGATTAAAAGAACATATATGTATATGGGCTGCTGAGTTTCTAAAGAAGAGGCAAAAAGACGAAGTATTCCGCATCAGTCATTCCAACTTGAAGGCCGTACAAGAATATAGAATTGCTGGAACAACGCCAAAACGATGTGGAACATATTATCTGTTTAGAAGATCCTTTTATCCACAATGCTGGCAGCTGTAGTATAGTATCCTTTTATCCTTTTCAATAGCTCCACAGCTGATATTTTAGTTTGCGTTTTTCATATTCCAATTGCCATAATTAAAGTTGATGCAAATGTAGTTTTTATCCGAGTTTTCCTTTTGTAGAGCATGCAAATCCATACGAAGCACTGAAGACAGGTCCTGTAGTAGCGAATAATTTATAGGGAGGGGAAATCATCGGCTTAAAATTCGCCAAATAATCACTTCCTAACTAACTAACGCAGGGGAAACGCGACCACTAAAATAACCTATAAGAATATATGTACATTTTGGTTAAAAAGGGAGTCAGACAATATCCGCGCCATATAGATATCTAGCAATATGAGGTATAAAATCAAAATGTTTGAATATGATCTGCTTGTTGTGAAAGTCACACATCAAATGGCAATGGCAGCAGCATTTTTACAATCCACTTGTGCCCCATCAGCGACATAAGGCAAACTGAAGGTGTCGAGCCATTCTTTGCACTTTTCTGAACTATCAAAAGCCAGGATATTGGCAATATAATTAACGCTAATATTGGGACGATAGCTGTAAGAGATAATTACATGATTAACAAAAATTATTATCAAAAATTGCGGTTTCAACTTACGATTTAATCAAGACTCGCAGAGCAGACTTGCGCTCTCGTTCAAGGAACCACTCAATCATATGGCCCGACATGAGCGGCGCCGACTTGTACAGGGAAAAAAGTTTACAATAGTTGCCCAACGACCAGGCCGAACGGAACTCTAAGGCGTGGGCAATGACTGGGGTCACGCGCTGATCAGCCGTAATCGAACGTAGGACAGTTGTTATGTCTGCCAAGTTAAGGAATTTGGTTAGCTTTGAGTTGAAAATGATAGCGGATGAGCCAACTTACCCAAGGTATTCTTTGTAAATATGTAGTACAGTATGCGATAGGCGGTAAACTCCAAGGAATTCGGACTCTGTCCTCCGAGTTCAGCGTAGAGCATCTTCAGTTGCGTCTGACATTGGTTGAACTCTTCGTGGTCGCCCTTCTCCATAGCAATGCGGGCATGCGTCTCGTACACTTCCACTGTAAACTGATCGCGAATACCTTGGACCTAAGTAACATTAAAAGAGTTAGCATTAAGAGTCTTCTTGAAATAATGATTGGACTTACAGTCAAATCCTGTCTGATGGACTTAAGCTGATCACACGCATAGTGATAATCGTGATTGACACGCCATTTGCTCTTCACGTTGGCCAACGAATGGGTTAGCACCTCGACTGGACGCACCTCCGACGGCGACGGCGCCTTGGTCAGACGCAGGAAAGACTTTTCTAATTCCCTACAAGAACCTACAATATGCAAATCGAGAAGATCTAAGCTGCCTGTGTCCTCGTAGAAGGCAGAGCGATGGTGCTGCTGCTGCTGCATCATCTTCTTTTTATTCTTGGCCGTGGTGAGACCAAACGGTGAGCTTGCAATGGCGACGACAGATTTCTTTGCCGAGCCTGAGCCCTGCTGTGAGAAACGTGCCGCCCGCTGTTGCAAGCGCGCTGTGTCATCATCAACGGCTCCGCCCACGGACGATTGGTTAGAGTAAAAATGTGGTGGCTTCTTTTTCGCCTGACCACCGGCGGCCGCCGCTGCTGCTGCTGCTGCTGCGGCAGCCCGCTTTCCCTTCTTCATTAGCATTTTTTGCTGCTTTCGCGAGAGGTTGGCGGTCAATGGTATGAAATTCAAGGAATCATTTGAGCCCGATTTGCGAATAACTTTACGCGCCGGCGGACTGCTGGCATCACTGCTGCGAGAACGCGACCGAGACCGGGAGGGTGGGGAGCGGGAACGCGAACGAGACCGCGAACGCGAATACCGCTGCTTCTTATTCGAGTATTTTGAGGAACTCAACGATGATGCCGGCGATCTAAAATGAAAGAACAACAGGTTTTGTTATGGAATCCAGTTGTCTAGCGGAGGAAATGGCACTTACCGCGAACGACTCCTGGAGTACCTGGACGACGACGAATGACGATTGTGGGAACCGTAGCTGGACGAGCCCTTGTTGAATAAATTTCCGCCCTTCTGCTTGAACGCATTTACAATACCCGAGGAGCCCTTGCTGCCCGCTGTCGGTGCCTTCTCCTGCTGCTCGCGATGATCACGCTCTCTCTCCTGCTGCTCAATCTTCTTTTGGAAATAGTTGCTACGCTGCGGCTGCGTCGGAGCGACATTGCTCAGTACCACATCGATGCCATCCCGTTCGCTGTGCACCGTCGGCATCGCCTCGTTGTCCCAATCTCGCGTCCACAATTCATTTCGATTGGCAGCCGCCATTATCTTGCCCTTGAGACAAATGTCAATCTGATCCTTGTCAAAATCCGTGTTGCACTTGGAGTAGCAACGGGCAACGTACTGATTGAGGGAATCCGGCCAAGAGTCATTGGTACCCATTTGCAAGGTGCTAGGACGCTTGAAAGTGGATCCGGATGGAGCTGCAGATGCAGCTGGTGCTTGGGGAGGCGTCGGCTGATGTGGCTGCTGCTGCTGCTGATGCTGGGTAGAATGTGGCTGAGGTGGCTCTGTGGGTGCAACTACGGACAACGGCAGTGGTGGTGGCGGTTTGCTCAAGTCTGGCGTGACCGGCACGCCTACATCGGCGGCGGTTATGATGGGTGGTGGTGGGGCTATGGGTGTGGTGTGATTGGTAAATGGATTGCTATATGCAGTTTGCTCATAGCTCTTGTTCATCTTGTTGTTGTTGTTGCGTTTGCGCTTCTTTTTGTTGTTATTCAAGTTGTTATTATTGTTGTACATTTGCAAAGCCTGTTGTTGGTGTTGCTGCTGCTGCTGCTGCTGTTGGTGTATTTGTTGGTTGTGCTGCTGTTGGAGCTGCTGCTGCTGTTGCAGGGGATTGGGCGCATTGGCCAAACGCTTTTGATTTAAATTCAAATTGAAACGTATTCCCCCGAAATTCTTTTGTTGCTGCTGTTGTTGTTGCTGCTGCTGTTGCTTGTTCATGTTGCCTCCAGCGGACTGACCGCCTTTGGGCGGTGGCGGAGGCGGCGGACCTGTGGGCAGTGGCGGCGGGGCAGCCAGTGCATTGCTGAACCCTGGCGGCGCATTCGATGAACTCACGGTCGATGTTACCTGCTGCTGCTGTTGCTGCTGATATCGCATGTAGTATTGGTAGTACTGCTGATACTGTTGCTGGTAGGCGGCGGCATTTTGGTTGGCATACCAGTAGTTCCATTGCTGGGCGAGAGCGGCGGAATTACCCCCCTGCTGCTGCTGCTGCTGTTGTTGTTGTTGCTGCTGCTGCATTTCTTGCAGCTGCGGTATCAGAGGCGGTGGTGCACTCATTGCATCGGACATGATACTACTCCCGCTCTCTCCCTTTGTTTTGTGTTTTTTTTTTACTTTCTGTTACCTGAACTTACCTTTGCTTTGTTTTCTATTGCGTTTCTGTTAATTCTCCCTAACGTCGCCCTGAAATTACGCATACAGAATGGAAAAATTTGCGCTCATTAGTTCCCTCTTCTGGGGTGCACATCATGTTTCAATGTGTGTGTGTATGTGCTGGCATGTGACGCCATTTTCTTTTTCCGTACCTATTTGTGGCCTCCGTGAAGAACTCGCTTTCTGACCTCAGATTTCGCGTTTATTAACGCTATTTCGCTGGAATAATTATTTACGACATGCACGTAACAGCTTGCGCACTGATTTACACGGGAAAACTTCGATGGCAACTTTTTATTACAGAAAAAAAAAACAAACGCGTCTGGAAAACGTCTGAACAAATTGATTTTTTTTTCGTATGTCAGGTGGAGCTGACAGATAGGGACGTGAAAGCCTCGATAAGCGACTATCGAATCTTTAACCTATCGACAATACTATTGAAGAAATTTATTTAAATTTGGTTTCCAAATTGTTCTAAATAAAAATACATAAGCGCAAAGGCGTTTAATTTGAAAAAGATCAATATAAATATATCAGTTATAAATAAAAAATAATTTCATTACCCGATATTGGAGATATTGAGATTTTACCATCTCTAGTGTTATCGAACCAGTGAATAATACTTAAATTATCGTTATCGATAGTGGCAGTTAAATTTAACTTAAAACCCAACAAATTAAAAGACCGGTCTGTGTCTGTTGTGCTTTCCTATATAATACTGAACTGTAACATTATCCTAACTTGGAGCAAACTGTGGACTTAACAAAAACATACAATTGTCGATCGCTTAGCATTGAAAGTCCAGGGAAGCCCCAAACCTGTGCGCTCCACCTTTCGGATCCGCCAGATCGAAGCCGAAATGATACATAACCTCGACATGGTTGTTCACATTCTTTTGAAAAACAAATCCAATTCTAGAGTCGTCTCGAAGCCTTACTTTCAGCAGAGTTCCATTCTGGAAGTTGTACTGCGCGCCGACAGATAGTTGCTTAACGTTCTCCGCACTGTAGAGGTTCGCCTTCAAGGCCACGGCCCAGTTTTCGCCGATCCGTTGGAAGATCGAACCTCGCAGGTTTTTAAAGTTCTCCCTGCAAGAAAATGATTAGTGGCCCTATCTGTCCCTTTCAGCAACAATAAAACCTACAGTTTGAGTCCCACTTCGGACTGTCCATTATAATAGCCCAGGCAGAAGGCGTGCATGTCGAAGCCCTTCTCTTCGAGATTGTATACTGTACGATAGCCGAACAGGCAGCTGTCTACAGGGGCCGCTACGACGTAACCCATAACAAGTGGCTCCTTGTAGATTGGCACCACCAGGTCGACTTTTATAGGGTTAAGCTCAAAGCCGCACTTTAGCTTGCTTTTCAATGTAACTCTGTGGAAAAATGTTATGTATTATAATACCCGGAACTAGCAACCATGTTGCCGGAACTCACTCGTCCTTCGTCCCTATTGTCGTATTAAAGATACCATAGGCGGAAGCGAAACGCAAGCCAAGCTCCGACAGAAATTCGTGGGTTGTAAACCAACTGTGGGAAAAATGGAAATTGCCAATCTCCTTGAACACCTCAACTCCCCCAAAGACGTCGTTTATTTTGGGATAAGCCTCGCCAAAGGTGCTCAGCTGAATGCCCTTGTTTGTCATGGAGGTGCAAGAGAGCTGCCAGGAACCGAGCTTGAAACCCCTCAGGAGACACTCCTTGGCACAGGCGCCCACATGAAAATAGGTTGATATCTGGCCTTCTCCAAGCGGCGGTGGCATTATCTCCATATCTTTCTTGTTCGTGTCATCTTGGTCGCCTTTTGCCTCATCCTTTTTATCCGCCGTATCCTCCTCCTCTTTCGGAGGAGCCTTGCTGTTCCGACGACACCGGAAAAAGTCGCGCACCCGTTCTGATTTTTTTCCCATTAGAAAATGTAAAATAATATAATTTCGAATTTGAACATTTAATTCTAAAGTATTTTTTAATACATTTACCTGTCAATAGAAGACAGGTGACAGGTATTTCTTCGCCTACTGCCCCCGATTGACATGTAGGAGGTCCAGCCCAGGCATGCCAAAGTTGGGAACGATACCTTAAGAAAAGCTGAAATTCATAGAATTTTGTTTTTAGCAGGACCTAAAGTTTTCACCACACTTTGTAAGACGGGACTTGCAAATAATGCTTTGAAATATGTATATTTGCCAAATGATTTAAAGTAGTAAAAAATCATTTACCTTTACATTAAGTTGAAATACCAGGCAGCGCCCATCCTAATCTCTCCATTTAGTGGGTCTTTTCCATCAAAGCTGCAGTTATAGACCATCCTAATAGCTTCACTGAGTTTTCGCTCAACGATGAAGCCCAAACGAGCATCGCCCCTTATTTTGGTCTTTATCAGTGTTCCCGGCCCCCATTCGTACTGACACCCAACGTGTAAATTCCTCTGATCCACGTTGCCATATATGTCGGTCTTTAAGGCTAAGGCCCACTTTCCAAAAAGGCGCTGAAAGATCGTACCTCGCAGATGCTCGAAATTCTCTCTGAAAAATCATGGGTCGGTTAATTGAAGAGAAGTTTTAAAAAGAGGGGAAAGCACGTACAATTTGAGGCTTATTTCAGTGGACTGATTATTAAACCCAACGCAAAAGGCGTGCATGCCGAACTTCTTGTCATTGACATCAAAGACCGTTCGATAGCCCAACGCAAAATGTTCGACAGGAACCACCATAAGGTAGCCCTTTAAAAGGGGTTGCCGGTAAATAGGTACTTCTAGTTCCATCTTAATGGGATTGCGCTCGAAGCCTAATCTTAACTTGGCCGTAAACTGCAATCTGGAAAACAATTATCGTAAGGCAAAACGACAGCAAGGATGACGCTCAACGTACTCTTCTGCCGTGGCGGCTCCAAATTTCAGGACGGAAAACCATTGCCCGCTAAGGGCCTCATCGTTTGCACCGAGGTCCAACAGAAACTCCTGGTTAGTCAGCCAGCAGAGGGCGGCGTGGAATGGACCCATCTCCTGTAACGCCTCCACACCGCCATAGGCGTTGTTTAGGAACGGATAGCCCTCGCCAAAGCTGCTCAGAAAGAGATCGCTCTTTGTCTTGGTGGTGGTTTGCAGCTTCCACACGCCGTTCTCGTAGCCATTAAGGAGAGACATATTCGCCAGTGCATTCACTTGGAAGTATGAGGGCACCTCGCCCTCCACCGTCGGCGGCTGCACTATTGGTACCAAATTTTCCTTTACGTGATCTCCTTGGGATTCTTCTTGGCCTTCTTCTTGGGGAGGAGGAGCTTTCTCATCTTTTTTTTCGGCGGCCTCACTTTTACGCCTCTTGCACCGGAAAAAATTCTTCAACTTCTCCATGCTTTTTTGAAATTTTATTTTTTTTTTAATTTGTTTCAGGTTTAGAATACTAAACGAAATACTACATTTAAATTTTGTACCGACAAAAACCAGAAGGAGCTACATATTTCAAGAAAAATTTTTAATTTTAGTTTCTAGACAAGAAACTTCAGCAGTACTCAGTTTGATCATATTTATGATATAGTTATGTGATGTTGATTAAATTTTAAAAATAAATTTAAGGTAAAAAAATAATTATTTATTTTTTAATGATTTTAAATTACTTTTTTTACATTTTATCAACATCAGATTTATATGCTGCAAATATTTTCTAGTATTTCTTATCATTTCTGTTGAAAACTGACGAATGTAAAACTAAGAGACTAATTTAGAATTATAAAAACATTTATATGCATATCAGAGTCTACAAAATGTTAATTATCAAAAACTAAGAGATTAATTGGCTTTGTAACACAGACAGACATGACTAGATCGATTACGCTGCTGTTGCTGATCAAAAATACATATTTAGAGACTCCTTTGGTAAAAGCTTCTAATTAAAATTATAATACACTTCAAGGGTATAAAAAGAAGTTATTTGATCAATAACTTTTTTTGTTTTCAAAAATCCTTCAGATATTTTGTATACATCTCTAATAGCTGTAATAGAGAGATAGCTTTCTCCCGTGTTTTTATTTTTATTAACCTTCTTTAACAAGTTAATGTTACATAGTGCCTTTATATATTTTTTTGGTTATAACCCATTTGGAATTTTAAACTATTAGAAAGGTGCTTAGCACTGCAGAGCCACCCCCACTCCAATCCTGTGGTAACCAGAATAGCGGCGAAAGTCAAGGATCGCCGATATGTTGCCCGTGATTCCTTCGCCAAACTTCTGCTCGTAGCCCAAGCCCAACTCCACGATGTTGTTGATTTTGGCGCGGATGAAAGCGTTTTCGTCCAGGCGATAGATCATACCCAGGCTGACTATCACATCGCCGCCGTGATATTCTTGGACTTCCTCGGGATTGTCGGTGTCGCCACCACCGTCACCCCACCAACGGGCTGTTCTGTCTAACTCGACACCCGCATCGATTTTTTCATCCACCTTGTAGAAGAGGGAAGCCAGAAAGGCGCCGTGATCCTTCCTGGGAAGTGAAGAAAATTTTAAGAAACAATACATCGACTTAAAATTATTATTAATTATTACTTGATTATGATTTTTATTAGGAGTAACCTCTAGTCACACTTACAGTTCGGCAAGAACGGTAGCCTGTTCGTTGCTCCAGCCAAGAGCCACCTTCCAGGCGTTGACATACACATTGTGAAGGTCTAACTCGAGGCCCAGGCCTCCCAGGAAATCTTCGTAGGGCATCACCACCGATGCGTTTAACACAGGGTACGACGAATTCAGAGTCAGATCAACCAAAGCATGGAACTTTTCCTGGAGGTATTGCACCCTGAATTTAGCATCAAGGTCGCTGGTAAAAAAAAGGTTAAACAATTGTGAAATATTTAAGATAAATCAAAGCTAAACGCACTTCGTTGACGGCCGGAACCTTGCCCCCAAGCCCAACGACAAGCCCTCAGACAACTTGTCCTTTTGCATAATCTCGCCGAAGATGTATCTGTCCGTATTCCATCCCTCAGTGAGTGTCAGTCCTTTGTCTTCCATGATGTACTTGCTCTGCAGCATACCGGAAACCTTGGAATTGTCGTAGTTGGTGAAGCCTGTGGATAAAAGCTCGATGCCCGGACTAGTCATCGTTTTGGTCTCGATCTGCCAGAGTCCCGGATGGTAGCCGCGCCTGAACAGATCGCGGGCTAGCTTGCCCAGTTCGGGATACGTCGGTATTTTGGCCATTTTTGGCACAATAAACAGATGGTATGGTACAAATGGATGCAAAATTTTAGATTTCTACACTTTGAAAAGGCTCGATTCACCGAAAATTTATGTCTGGTGCTGCCAAAATCTTAAATGAATTCGGTGAACAGCAGTGCGGAATGAATGTGTGGGCTGTGTCGAACGTAAATGCACAGGTTCCTATTCTGGACATAACATTTTAGAGATATGAGAATATTAAACTTTCAGACGATGTGAAAGTTTTGTTTATATTCCTTAGTGTTCTTTGTAAATTAAAAATGTACTTATATAAGGGGGAAATACATGTAAACTAAAAATTTTATATTAAAATAAATAGTTTATTATTTAAAGAATTTACTGTGTAAGTTTCATTATTAAATTCGAAACTCCCTTCATGTTAAGAGGAAATTGTGTCCAATTAGGGTTCCATTAATATATATTTCAATATAAAATCGCATTACCAAAGTCCATGAATAAACATTCCATTTATAAATTGGCCTTTTATATAGATAATAATATAGAAAGTGGTAATTTTAAAGCATACATAATAGTCCCACTTAACCCAAACGCCGTCTTCCTTCTAATTTGTTCTTCTCGATTTATTTTTCATGTAAATGCACAACGAAAAGTTAAAGGATTAATAATGATTGTGGTTTTTGTGGGATTTTGTGTGTTTTGATCGCGCCACCAAAAGAGAGAATGTGGGGCAAACCCCTAAAAGACAGCAACTAAATGATAAAATGTAGTTCCATTTGAGCCACACGATTTTAGATTCTTTAGTTTTGTTTAATAGGTAAATGTATTTTTACTGAATTGTAGTATTTTGCCAACAACAAATTTGCTAATTTTCAATGCACTAAACAAAGCTACATCCAACGACGACGGACTGCGGACCCCATTCCCCTTGCATCATTTTTGCTGGCAGTGTCTCTGGTGTTCTCTGCAAATTCGGGCGGCTGGGTCAGGGTCTAATCGTTAAGATGTGAAAGATTCTCATTATAGTTTGAATGTGTGGTTGTTTTTTTAGTTTGTAGAATATCTTTTCACTTTTATTTTGTTGTTCTTGTTGTTACTGCACTTTTGCTATTGCTGATTCTGCTGTTGTTGTTGTTGGGCGTGTGGGGATGTTAGACAAGTTCAAAGATTCCTCGACTGGCGCGGGAAGCATCGACTTAGGCCTCCAGCTCCAGACCAACACCGATCTTGTGGCCGCCGGCATTGAAGTTCTTGCCATCGACCAGCGTGGACAAGGTCAGAGTGATGCCATCGCGCAGCTTCTGCTGGTAGCCCAATCCAACCTGGCTAGCGTTGTTCACCTTGGCGCGCACGCTGGCATCATCGTCCAGCTGGTATTTGGCGCCGATGGCGAACTTGGTGTTGCTGGTGCCGCTGGCCCACGACAGCTGCACACCCACATCCAGCTTGTCCGAAGTGCGCTGGAAGATAGAGCCGCTGAACTCCTGGCCATCGTTGCTGATTGATTTAAGGAAAAAAAAAACAGAATTAATACAGATCGATTGATGCCGAAGAAATTGTAGGTAATACTTACACAGCTGTGTGCAAGACAAAGTCCTTGGTGGCATAGCCAAGGGCAAAGTTGTTGGTGGTCAGCTTGGACTGCTGTGTGTCAAATGCGCTCTGGTAGCCGGCCAACCATCCCTGGTAGCCAAGCACGGCAGAGGCGTTGATCAAGGGGCCCTTCAGGTCAATATTGACATCGGAATCGGCCTTGACGTTCTCATGGCCGTAGGCCACCTTGAACTTGCCGCTCTTGTTGCTGTTAAATGGTATGAATATGAAATCCCCTATCTATATAAATATATAGTCAGGCACTTACCCAGACTGGGGGGCAAAGTTACCCTCCAGGGAGAGCTTCAGACCCTCGAGCAGCTGATCCTGGACAGCGACCTCGGTGAACAGCGTGTTGTCTGTGTTCCACTTCTCAGTGAGGGTCAGGCCATAGTCCTTGACCTTGTACTTGGTCTCCAGGGAGCCGAAGACCTTGCCAGACTCCTGGTTGGAGTGTCCGGCTGTGTTGAACTCGATGCCCGACGAGGTCTTGGTCTTCAGATCGAGCTTCCACAGGCCGAAGTTATAGCCTTTGCTGAAGATGTCGCGAGCCTGCTTGCCCAAATCGCTGTATGATGGAGGAGCCATCTGGAAACGAACGGAACGCGCCGTAAATTAGTTTGTGAATAATCGATATAGAATGACGATGGGGCTACTTATTGCGAAATCATTTCGCTCGCCAGGTCGATTATTGCGCGAAACAATAGATAATATTTATGGATTATGGAGGTTCTGACGTCTAATCTTATCAGCAACATGATGATTATTTACTTTTTTCGTTTTATCGAAATTGTAGTGTTCTATTGGCCACCGCGGAAAAGTGAAAACTGAACATGGAAACAATTCTCAGGGGCCAGTTTCCCTTTTGGCTAAATGTCAATTTCGTGCAGCAAGAATAAATAAATCAATTTAAATTAGTGTTTGGCTGCCTTGAACAGGCCAGAGTTGCCAGCTGCGGTGCGGAAGAGTCGCCAATGATTCGGCAAGGGGGTCATTGTACTCGACTGGGCCAAGAGAAAGTAAGCGGAAAAGTGGGAAAAAAAAGACGGAACACTACAGAGTTCTCGCTAAGGCGTCGCCCCTTTTTACAAACCCGGACATCTTGACAACTCCGTCGGAGCTCCTCCTTCAACATATTATATGTCCAGTCTCTGGGAACGTAATCTCCTGTCTCGACCATTTTCCACAAATATTTTTTGTCCAGGATTTAAAATAATAAGTTACGTGTTAAAGCCCCTCGGTTTACGAATAAGTAAATTGGATTGAAGTGCTTCATATTGCTACTATGATCACTATTCCTGAAATTCCTTATTTTGAAATCTAAAATATCTTTATTTATTTCAAATTTATTTTAGGAAAACCACTCAATTATTATTATTATTTCCAAGCTAAAATATTTGGACATTTAATATTTTAATTTTGTTTATTAAAAACTTTTTTTTTTTAATATTGTACTAAGATATAGTATTTAAATATTTTATTCTGCTTGATGATTAGTATCTTTTGCATACGCCTGTCATTTCCATGACTGTAATTTCGATTGTATCACTTATCTGGACACGATTGTGGCCCCCACCTCCCTCCGTCTGTTTACGTTCCGTACTTGTGCTGGCATTAATTGCTGGTCAGTCTTTCTAGGCAGCGAAGCGATCATTGACACAGAAGCTAACTGCACATTTGCAGCCTCCTCTTTGGTCTAGCTTCGTCTTCGTTTCTATTTCCGTGTGACGTCAAGAATGCGAGAAACAGTCGCGCTGCGAATATTGAAAACGGTGCCTATGCCTGGCTGCTGATGTTCCAAGGCGGAAAATTATGAAAAGCGCCGAGCGGCAGGCTGGCACTCAGGGGTCGTTATGGCCAACAGCCAAAAGACGGGGAAATGGGCAACAACAAAGTCGAGGCCCAGAAGAAGATGTCAGGTGATGTAACTTGTGATCATAGCCGAATGGATATTAATTTCCGGTAAAAAGGAAAATGAATCTCCTAGTGACCTTGACGAGCAGGGAGGGGGTAGCAAATTTTCGCCAGTTGCATAACACCACCGGGGAAATCGATTAACAGCCTAAACAGAACACAAAAAGGTGCCACACGCAAAAAGGGTATTGATTTTTCGGTGACGTCACTGCTAAAACTACCACCTACAACTAGCAAAAGGTGCAACTAAGTAAACCTCTCACACACCTCACATGACCGCAAACAACAAACGGCGATAAAGAACGGGTAAAGAGGACACTGATGTTTGCAGAGCAGCAAAGCAACAACGTGATAACGAGCAGAATTGATCAAAACAATTTAAACGAGAGCGATTCGTGTTACGTAACAACAGACATTTTCGCCAGGCACTTTTTCATTTTTTCTCTTTCTTTTCCATTTGCCGGCAGCTGCTGCCAATGAACTGTACCTGCGTTGGTGTGCGTGTGCGGATGTGAGTGTGTATTTGGTGACCGGTATATTCGCTGTTTTTATCAATTAATTATAGTTTCGAACACTCCCCCAATCGGCTGAATATCAGTTCTTTTTTTTCGTCACCGAGCTGAGCCCTTTAGCGTTCATGCGCGTGTCTACTTGCAATTTTTTTTTCGTTTCGAGGTTATGAAATCACTAGCACTGCAAAATCGAAATTATCCAGTTTTCGGGGGATTTCAGGGGGTTTTCTGGCGGCGATCGGCGGGCGGGGGCGGTCTTAAGCAAGCTGTACTTACTTTGGATGAGCTTGAGTTTTAGAGTGTAATGCGAAACGCAGAGGAACAGAGACAACCACGAGACCACGAACGTACACCACAAAAAATTTTGTGATAAGATTAGGCGAAGTGTGACCGCAGAATTATCGATAGATTATGCCGTTCCTCTCTAAAAATACTGTTAGTACCGTTTTTATGTCTGAAAATATACCAATGTGTGTATTTTACAAGTCGATTTTTTATCGGACGCTTCATTAAAGCATATGCTAATTTTAATTTAATTTTTTAATCTGATCACTTTTCTTTTTTCAAACTAATATTATAGTTGTATAAGCACTTGTTGAATTAAATTGTTTTAGTATTTTTTGTTGTACGTTTTTGCCACTACTACCACCACTAAGGCGCCTGTTTTTAATTTTTCAAATAACTAAATCAGCTTTCAAATAATTCTATAAAATCAATAAGTGCCACACCTCCTTTTTAATAAGAGAGCTTTCGGTTTCTCGTGGTGAATGCTAAAAGTTCATTTTCTGCCTTTTGTTTACTTTTAGTGATCAAGGGCTTTTAACGTATTTTCCCCATTTTCAAAAAATCTGTTTGTAACGGTTAAAAAATATGGCATGTCACAAAAAGTGGAGTTAATTTACTTTAATTACTACTTGCATCATTGGCATCGATTGATTTTTAGGTACACATGGACCTATTTTTAGAACTCCCACCATCCGCCCCACCCGACCGCATCACATGGCATCAGCATCAGTTGGTGTAATGTGCATTGCGAGTGTAGCGACAGCATGCTGAAGGCCCGTCTGGAGCAGGACGCCGTCTTTGGACGCTGCCTGGCCACCGCGTCCTCCGTGCGACGCGGGGATCTGGTCTTGGAGGAGCTGCCCTTCGCCCGCGGACCGAAACGGGACAGCGGCATCGTGTGCCTCGGTTGCTATCAGTTCCTGCAGTTCGGAGAGGATGGCGACTCCCTGGACCGCTGCGAGCTCTGCGATTGGCCGCTGTGCGGATCGTGTGCCGGCGGAGATGACGCCACCGATCATAGCGACGAATGCGAGATCTTCTCCGCCGCACGTGTCACTTTCGCCGGGAATGTGAGCGACGATGGCGTCTGTACGCAATTAGATTGCATAACACCATTGAGGTTAGTTCGTTGGGACTCCAGCGGGGGATCGGGGGCCGGACTACCTGTCAAAATATTGCTTTTTGGGAATATATTAGTTTTGGCAGCCAGTGCGCATTTCTCGCACACGGGATGGGGGGCTGTCAGCTGGCAAATAACGAAAAATCTAGGGAGACGGGGACCGAGCAGTCTAAAGATTCGGAAGGAGGAAGATAGAATACGGAGGCAAGGCGGCTGTTGGCGCAGATCAAAAGACAACACCAAAATGCAGGGCACAGTGGTAGGAATGGACACAGAATTCTTTGAAATATGATTTAATCTATTTTTTAGTAAGCATAAAACTTAACCAAAACAAAATGTATAATGTAAACATCCTTTATAATTCTTAAAGTATAGATCTTAAGGAATTGCTTTTGATTTATTGTATGATCTTGTATTTTTATACCCGTGGGTATTTTAAGTCAGAATTTTGCCAGGCGAAGGAGTCTAGCCCAGAAAAGTTTTCCGAATTGAATTTGATACTTTTTTGACTTAGTAATGGGTTTCTTAAACTGTAAAGACATCTCGAGATCTCTTTCAAAGTATTTCCTAGCATAGAATTTCTGTACGAAATCAAACAACTTATTTCCACAATTTTAACAAGCTAATATGCCCTCTTAATTGTATGTACCTATTTCCTTATATTTATGCTCTTTATACATATATTAATTTAATCCATCGCTCATTTGAATTAATAGTAAATGGAAATAGAACTTGAGAGCCTTAACAACCCAGGGAAAATACATATAATTTAGTGAGGTGGACCTATAATTTAATAATAATTTGAATTAAACCAATTAATTTATTTTAATTAATTTATGTAATTTAAGCAGAGTGAAATGCTATAACCAATTTATAATTTTGTAAGAAGTCGAATGGCATAAATAATAATAATAAATTACCCATCCTGACCACTGTGCCCGCAAATATTAATGCTTGATGCCCGAGGCAGGCCGAGATGTTGCTATCTTTGCTAGATGGCAGATGGCATAATCTGTGCCCGTGCCAGTAAGCGACATGACATCGACGCCAACGCTGCCGGTGAATCGCACATCGGTGCAATGGAGTCCCGTCTGCGGACGCTATCTGGTGGCCGAGGGAGCGGTGGCAGGTCATGGTCTGCTGATCGAGGAGCTGCCGTTTGCCTTGGGACCAAAGTGTAATGGACCGGTGGTTTGCTTGGGCTGTTACGAATCGGATCCCGAGCTGTGCACCGAATGTGGATGGCCGCTTTGCGATGAGTGCTCTCGGAGCCAGGAAAATCATCATTCCGAATGGGAGTGCCGGGTGTTCCAGGATGCTCGGGCTCGATTCTTCAGCCTGCCCAAGGGGAGCAGCCACTGCCCGCAACTGGACTGCATTATGCCGCTGAGGTAAACCCCCAGCGGCGAGCGGTACATAAATAGACCCAGCCATTAAACGCGAAATCTGGGGAGTCCATTGTGTATTCTTTAGACTAAATTCGCTTGTCTGGCAAATCTTTAAATATTAGGTTTAGATTTCAAGATATTTTAAGGGATATAATTTATAATTTCCTGTAGCTTTACAGTTTTATAATTTCATTTTGTAATTTCCTACCTTATCTCTATGATTTCCAGAGTTCTGTTGGCCAAGGAGGCAAATCCGGCGAGATGGGACAACGAAGTGGCCCCAATGGAACATCACGAGGAGGAGCGTAAACAGGATGCGGACTTGTGGCATGCGGATCGCGTGAACATTGCTCAGTATTTGCGGGGACCCTGCAAGCTGGCCTCTCGTTTCAGTGAGGAGCTCATCATGCAGGTGGTGGGAGTCCTAGAGGTAAACGCCTTCGAGGCAAGGACCTCAAGAGGTTATCCATTGAGGTGTCTGTATCCGTACACTGGCATTCTGGCTCACAATTGTGTGCCCAACACATCGAGGAGCATCTATCCTAGCGAGGGGTACAAGTAAGTATCTAAGAGGTATCTCTTCCTTCAAAGCTTTTCAATCCTTTAAATTTCTAAAAGAATCCGCCTTCGAGCTATGGTGGATCTGGAGGAGGGTCAGCCCCTGCATCACAGCTATACCTACACTTTGGATGGCTCCGCTCAGAGGCAGAGCCATCTGCGGCAGGGAAAATACTTTGACTGCCAATGCGATCGCTGCCTGGATCCCACCGAGCTGGGGACGCATTTCTCCAGCTTAAAGTGTGGACAGTGTACCGAGGGTTACCAAGTGCCCTGGCAGCCGACGGGTGAGTAGAATTGCAAAGTTACCCATGAATCCAATCCATATAAATATATATCCTTCGACAGAGTCCGATACCAGTTGGAACTGCAGCAGCTGTGGCGCCTGCACCAGCAATCCCGAGGTCCAGGCTATGTTGCAATCCCTGCAATCAGAGGTTAATGTAGTCCAGGCCTTGGAAATGGGCCCAAAGCGTTTGGAGGAGGCCGAGCGTCTGCTGCGCAAGTACAAGTCCCTGCTGCATCCGCTGCACTACATCGCCACGGGTCTGAGGCAGTTGCTCATCGAGATGTATGGACGGGTGCAGGGCTACGAGATGGTCCAGCTGCCAGATCACCAGCTGGAGCGCAAGGCGCAGCTATGTCGCGAGGTGTTGCGTGTGCTGAACTCCTTTGAACCCGGTCTGAGTCGCACACGAGCCATGAACCTGTACGAGATGCACGTTCCGCTGGTGCTGCTGGCCAAAAGCGGTTTCATAGCCAACAAACTGAAGGGCGGCGAGCTACGTGCCCCGCTTGTGGATGCCATCGATCTGCTGAAAGAGTGCGTGGAGATTCTGGAGTTCGAGGACCAAAGCTCGCAGGAGGGCGTGCTGTGCGGAGTGGCCAAGCAGGCGCTGAAACAACTGAGCCTGAGTGTCGAGGGCCTGGGAAGTGAGCTCGATTGAAGCCATGTATGTATATACTTATGCATATCAGATAGCTTTATTGGAAAAACTGTTCAAGTGGGACAATCTCTTTCGGATGGTGGTGGTGTGACATTGAATAACTCTTTAGTGCTTGAAGGTCCAAAAAGAACAATAAACTACAACTTAAAAGCGAATATTACTAGCTATTACTGCACACGGTTTTGATTTGGTATATATACGCGTCTACTATTTGATCGTAAATCGTAAATGCCTTACAGTATTATTGAGATTTTCCCATGTCTCAAATCAGATTATTTTCGCTTAATCGGATACTGGTAAAAAATACCCCGGCTGGCCGAAGATCTATTCTTCCTATCGACGTACAAAAATGTTCTACGCCGGCATGCAAGTTCCCTATAAAATATCCAAGTTCCTTTTGAGTATGCTCTCCGCCGCTCTGCTTCCTCCCTGTCGCTGCTTCCTTTATATTTATAATTTCAAAATTATTATAAACTAAAGCATAAATTAAGTTGGAATCTGCACTATAATACACACATTACGCAATACGAATCGATTTGTAAGGGCTGAGTTAAAAAAATGGAAATCACACTTTGTTTAAAAACTAAAAACACTCTTGCCGGGCTCCTTCCTCAGCAGGCACACAATAAACACAAGGACAACAGATAATAATAAATACTTCCGGACCCTAGACCTCGTGACTCAGCAGCGGCGTGTCGTGGTAGCGGGAGGCGTGATTCAAGCTAGTGCAGGGCAGCAGCCACAGGCCCGGATGACCGCGTCCAAAGACATCAGCCAGCAGCTGGTACTTGCGCCGGTTGGGTCGGTAGGTGCCCTTCTGTTGTATCGCCTCCACGGCCGTCTCATCGTATAGAATAGCGTGAAGCTGGTCCACCATAATGGCCGTTACGAAAAGGCCAAACAGGGCGGAGACTAGCAAGAGGATGACGGAGTGAATCCTGGAAGGGGGAAATGTATTCCCATATTTGTAGTCACATAAATGTATTCCCATCGCCAACACACTATGCATACAGATAGGTTTATCCCAAAAAGGGGGATATATATACTTACATTCGGACCTGGGTCTCAAGCACATTCTGGTTGCACTCATCGCAGGGCCACACCCACGAGGAGACAATCAAGCCAATGGAGTAAAGCGAGAGCAGGGCCACATAAATGAGGAACTGCAGGAAGTACTTCTGGTTGCGCTCGCCCACGCAGTTGTTGATCCAGGGACAGTGGTGGTCCATGCGCCGGACACAGCGCTTGCATATGCGACAGTGGTGGGCTCGCGGCGGTCGGTATGTCTCACAACGTGTGCAAACGGTCCATTCGCTGCTATGCCCATTTCCCGATGGATTGTTCTTGTTGTTGGTGGTGTGCAGGTCGGAGAAGTCCAAGCGGTTGGCGGGCAGGGGCACGATTCCGGGATCAGAGAACACGGCCTTGACATGCGACATAGCCAGTAGGAAGACCACGGTGTTGAAGAGCACCACATGAAAGGACATCCAGAGGCTGATGGTGACAATGGATAGCCGGATCAATGGAGGTGACTTGACAAATAACCAGCGATTACTCACCTGCCCGGCATCGTGGTCAGTATGATCCAGCGGATGACCACATAGTCCGCGTAGAGAACAGCCCCATAGGTGACCACCAAGCAGGCAATGCCACAGGGATCGCGTATAAAGACCATTGCTGAGACGTCCGCGGGGTACGATATTGTTTTATAATTTTCTGCCCCGTTGTCTCCTCTCTCTTTAATTGAATTAGAAACCGAAGGGGCTGATTTCCGTTGCCCCTCCTCCCCCTGCGACAAACCAAGGGGCGAAAAATAACAATTGTTGCTGTACTCCCTAAGGCTTGTCTGGGGGCCCACGATCCGCTCCAGTGGGCTGTGCACTGATTGCTGGTGGGGACGCGTCGGTTACCGCACTATCCGTACTCGGTGTGTGTGAATAAAACGCAAATGAAGCGTTTCATTGACTTTTAGGGTTTATTTTACGCTTGGAAATTTCATTTATTTATTTAGTGTGACCGTTGCCCGGAAGCGTAAAAAACCCACACTGTGCCTTCATACACTGAAAATATCGTTCTGGTATTAGCAAATTTAAATTCTTCAAAATTTTTTAAAAACATAAAGATTCAAATAGTAAAATAAGTTACTTTAACCGTTTTTATTAATAATACACACATAATAATATAAAAAATCTGAATTAAAACGTCTCAGTTCTTGGCCTTGTTCTCCTTGCCGCGCTCTAGCGCCTCGAGCTGACGGGCCCTCTCGGCCATTCCCTCCTTGATCCAAGGATGTGTCATCACGGCGACCAAGCCGATTCGGTTCTGTAGACGCAGCAACTGCAAGTGAAAAGCCCGTTAGTTACTCTTATATATTACATTAATAATGTTACTCGTACCCCCGAAATGAGCTCCTTGCTGCCCTTGGACAAGTGCGAGGGATAGTGGATCTCCAGTCGCCGGATCTTGTTATAAGTGCTCTCCGTGCTGTTCGACTCGAAGGGCGCGCAGCCTACGAGAAACTCGTAGCAGAGGATGCCAAGGCACCACTGATCAACCGAATCGTCGTAAGGCGAGTTATTCACCATCTCTGGCGGCAGATAGTCCAGGGTACCGCACAGCGTGCGTCGCTTGTTGTTGGGCGTGTGAGCCGACCATCCAAAGTCGGCTAGCTTCAGATCGTCAGTGCTAGTGAGCAGGATGTTCTCCGGCTTCAAATCCCGATGAATGACATTGTTCAGGTGGCAGTAGTTCAGGGCATTGGCCACCTGGTAAGTGTACTTTGCCGACCTCGGCTCGTCGAAGCGGTGATTGGGGGCGTTGCGCAGGTGCTTGTAGACCTCGCCCCCAGAGGCTATCTCAAGAGCCAGGTAAATGCGGTTCTCGTCATGGAACCAGGTCAGGAGGCGCAGAATGTTGGGGTGCTTCAGACGTGACTGGATCTCGATCTCGCGCAGCACCTGGCGCTGCACGTTGCCTTTACGCAGCTCCTCCTTGAACAGAACCTTCATGGCCACCAGAAAGTGCGAGTGCCGCTCGCGGGCCAAGTAGACGCGGCCAAACTTTCCACGCCCCAAGTGGGCGCCCATCTCAAATTCACGGGCAGTCCAATCGTAACTGTGTGTGTGAATCAGTGAATTCTTGGTTGCTTCACTTTCCAGGTGCTCTATACTCACGGTTTGCCGTAGGCGTCGTGGGACAACATCTTGAGGCACATCTTGTTGACCGGCTCCTGGTAATCCTCGGGTACATTGCTTAGAAGCTGCGGTAGGTGGGTGCGATTGGCATGCTTTTGACGGGGCTGCGTCATGGCGCTATATCGCAATTATACTGAATTATATCGAAGAAAACAATAATAAATAAATATTTTTTCGATGGCGTCCCTTTGATTTGCGCGTTTTTTTTCGAATGCTGAGATTAGTGTGACCGATTGTCACCAATGACAAAATCAGCTGTTCACCAAAAGTGAACTAGATCCAAAAATAAATCGTAGGAAAATGAAAATATAAAATTAATAAATAAAATAGAAAATGATACAATAATTAAATTATTAGTACTAAATTTAAGAAGAAATGCTTATTTTTTGTGGTATTAGTTGTTGGACTTGTTAAGGGAAGAGCCATTTTAATATCTGGCAGCACTGCCCTGGCTTTTCGCGTCAACTGCCAACTGGGCACACTCGTCATTAGTCATTTTTTTACACAATAAACCTAAATTTAGCGAATTTAAAATCGTTTTCTGGCACCTCTTAAGCTTTTCTTTAAGCTTTCTTTGCCCGCTAGCCGTTAAATTAACGCGCAAAAGGATATCGCAGGGAAAAACTAGAGCATAGCCGTCTCTTTGTCGCCCAGACGCACCGAAAATCGATAGCCCCAGTAAAAACAAAAGGGGAATAATCTGGACAAAGTGCGAACGGGGGATTGGCCTGGACTTGAGATTGGATAAACAGCAACGCAACCAGCTTGTTGGCAAACAGCAGCATGGGTATCTTCGGGCAGTCGTCGCCTTTTGACGCCGACGTGGGTGAGTATTATCAATAGAGGCGTAGAAGGCGGCGCATTTCCAATTGGAATGACTGGCTGGCTGCATTTCATAGTTTTCTATTCTTATCGGCGCACTTTTGCCCCCTTTTGCGCGTAGTTTCTTCACTTCTTCTAATTAAGCAAACAGACAACAAAGAAAGTCATGTGAGAGGGATGCTGTGCGCAGCTGTGCCCTGCGTCCGTTGACCCTTCTTCTTGTTGGAGTTTTTTCGGTCGACAGTCGCTGACCTTGAGTGACGTACCACCAGCACCAGCACCGCCCTCCCCCTCCCCTAATGCAATTTGTATTGATTTTTTTTATTGTTCCAATCAGTGCCTTATCTTCACTTTCCAATATGAGTCACTGGGCAAGATAAGCTAATTCGGTTCTTTGTGTTTGTTTTAAACCCATAGAAAAGGCCACCAGCGAGACGAACACCAACGATGACTGGACACTGATCCTGGATGTGTGCGACAAGGTTACCACCAATCCGCGTTTGTCCAAGGATTGCCTAAAAGCGGTGATGCGTCGCATGGGCCACTCCGATCCGCACGTGGTGATGCAGGCCATCACGCTGCTGGACGCTCTGTCGAGCAACTGTGGCAAGCCTTTCCACCTGGAGGTGGCCTCCCGAGATTTTGAAACGGAGTTCCGCCGGCTGCTGGGAAAGGCGCAGCCTAAGGTATCCCTGGTAAGTGCCATGCTCCTCTATCCAGATCTGTAAATAACCGTCATTTCCTCATAGAAAATGCGCCAAGTCCTAAAGAACTGGGCTGATAACGACTACAAGAACGATCGCGAGCTGGATTTGATCCCCGCTCTCTACACCAAGCTGCGTCTCGAGGGATACGATTTTAAGAATTTGGGTGACAAGGGCAGCAAGTCTGCTGCCGAAAAGGCTGCCGCCTTGCCCAAGGATCCGAATGTAGTGAGCAGCCAGCAGGAAGAGGATGACATTGCCAAGGCCATTGAACTGTCGCTCAAGGAGAACAAGGGAAGCCCCAAGACTGGAAGTGGAGTTGTTGCCAGCTCCAGCACCGCCAGTGCCTATCCCTCTTTGTATCCTTCATTCGGAGGAGGCAATGCCGTTGCATCCTCCGCGCCGAGCAGCGATGCTAGCAACGCCACTCCAGCCCCGGAGCCGAGAAAGGTGCGGGCTTTGTACGACTTTGAGGCGGCGGAGGAGAACGAGCTCACCTTCTTCTCGGGAGAGATTATTCATGTGATGGACGACAGCGATCCGAACTGGTGGAAGGGCTTCAATCAGCGCGGCGAGGGTCTCTTCCCCTCGAACTTTGTTACTGCCGACCTGTCCGTGGATCCCGAGCGCTTGGACATTAATCAGCAGCATAAGTCGGCCGCCGCTGCTGCCGGACAAAGGGAGTTGGACTCGGCTGCAGCTCTGCAGCTAAAGACTGAAGCGGCCGTTGCAGCTGCCGCCGCTCAGCCCGTGGAGATCGACGAGTCGAAGATCGATAGGCTTCTGCACTTGCTTCATGAGGCGAATCCCGAGGATCCCTCGCAGGACAGTAACGAGATGTTGCGGCTGGAGCAGGAGGTCCATCAGATGGGTCCGTTGATCGACGCAGAGTTGGAACGCGTGGACCGCAAGCATGCCCAGCTGACGCAGTTGTCTAGCGACCTTGTGGACGCCATCAATCTGTACCATACTCTGATGCGGGACGATCGGGCTGCGGCAGGACAGTTTACGGCAGCAGCGGGTGGCTTTATGCCCGGAATGGCTCCCGGATTTCCGGGGGCAGCTCTCTACGGAGCACCTGGCTATCCCGCAGCAGGCGCTTTTCCTACGGCCCAAAACTATCCCGGCATGCACTCGTTGCCATATGGTCCGCCTTCAGCGGCACCTGTTCCCCGCGGTGGAGCTCCAAGTGGTTATTTGGGACAAGGTCAGGTGCCAATGCCGTATCAGAATGGTCATGCCCCGCAGATGAATTGTAAGTAGTCTTAATAACTCTCTTTTAGAAGATAATATAGTTTTATTTTGTGATTACTCTTTCAGCGCTGCCACCCCATCTGGCTCAGCCCTCAGCCGCTGCTCCTGTGCCCCAGCCCCTTTATAATGCCCAGCCCACGCCCGTGACCAATCCACAACAGCAGCTGCCACATCAGCATCCCCAGCAGCCACCGCAACAGCATCCCCAGCAGCCACCACAACAGCATCCCCAGCAGCCCAGCTATCACATGGATCCGCAAGCACAGTTCGCCCAAGCTCCGCCCGCAATGCCACAGCCGCAGCCACAGCAACAGCCGGCAGCTCCCCATGTCTACATGTCGCCGCAGCATCAACAGCCACCGCAGCCTCCGCAGGGATACCAGCCTGGACCAAATTTGTATGCGGCCAACGGATCGTCGGGCGTCAATCCACAGAGCTACATGTCTCCGCAGCAGCAGCAGCATCCACCACCACATGATCAGTTTAGTCAGCTTCACCAGCAGATGGCCGCCATGTCCATGGCTGGGGGTCCGCCCGTTGGGCCAGCGCCAGTCGGCTATCACATGCAGAACGATGCCGTCAAAAACAACATTCCTATTTACCAGCAGCAGCGGTAAAACTGCAGCAATAAAAATCGAGCCCTTCACTTGGTGTTAGCCCTAAAAACGAAACCTTCAGTCAGTCAAAAGGATGAAAAAGTGTTAATTTCGGACAACTTGTCGAGGAGATGCGAGTTGTCGAATCTCTACTATGTATATTCTGTGAGCCACGAGCAAAGCAATCGCGTCAGTGAACCAAAAACCCCTAAAAACATGAATGAGAGAAAGAGAAGCCAAATTAATTTTTAAAAACAAAGTGTCCCTTTATATTTTTTGTTCTTTATAATTTTTATTTTTTTGTGGAGAATTTTGTGAAGCCCAAGCAGCAGCAGCATATATTTTAAATCGGAATGAAGGTAAACACACGAGGGGATATATATATACCATATAAATATTCTATATTCAACACACGTATAACTTTGTATGTAAGCGAGGAGAGAATAACTATTATGTATTATGTTTATTGTACGGATTATGATCTGATGAAGAAAAGTAACGAAGCGAATCACATTCATTAAAATCATTCAATTAAATTTACAAGCTATGTCTTTTAATGTTGCCGAGTGCGCAGCTTGATGCAGCGCTTGATGTAGTGAGCCTCATCGATCTTGTCCAGTAACTGGAGACGCAGGTGAACAATTTGCTGGCGTTGATGGAACTCGGTTTCAGTCAGATCCGGGGCATTCAGCCAGGTCAGCATGCTCTGGCAGGAGTCTATGCGCTTAGGGCGAGCTGAATTACAGGAGAGGCTTTCGCTCATCATGCGGTCAAGTTGAGTTTGCTCGGCTGACTGTGATTGCTCCTCTCTTTGGAAGTCATTGCACAGGCTGTTCTTATCGGCTTGGCCTGTGCTAAGCTGCTTACTTAGCATTAATGGTTCGGTTAAACTTCGAAGTAAAGAAGAATTTAAGTTTTCCACGGTTTGTTGTTTTTAAAGCTGTGATTCACACAAATAATAAAGGCAGTTCCGGCTGGGGATGGCAGAGAACATCGATATATCGTATCGATCTTTGTCGGAAATGTCGATATATAAATCAATATATATGTGAAAAATGGATATTTTATTTTGTTGGCCATATTTATACCCTTGCAGGGTGGCTTTCCGAAATTAATTTAATGCTATCTTTGCTGAGTTAGCAATTTTAAAACTTTAATTTGTCAAAAAAATTTGTCATAATTCAAATATTTCTTGATATGATATGTTTTTGGCCTATTTTAGGGCATTGAAATAGGTTTATTCAATGGTAAGATTACGTATACGTAATATTTGGCACTATTGAATTGCGTATACGAATAATATGACCTACGGAAATCTAATTTAATACTTAAATTTCTAACTACTAAATCCACGAAATCCTGATCGCCTTTTTATTTTTGTTCATGCCAATGCATTTTTTCCGTAAACGTATCGAATCATTTCCTTGCCACATGCCAGTGTCTCTCCGCATGCCAATCTAACATGCAACAATTCAGCAGCAAATTCCCATTCGGCGCTCAATGGCACTGAAATCCTATGAAATAAACTGTCAAAATGTGAGACAGTCTGAGCCTGGTAAATAGAAAATGTCAATAAATGCGGAATGTCAGCAACAGAAGCAAAAGCAGAAGCAAAACGAAAACAAGCCAGAAGGCGTCGATGGGCGGCGGCAGGTTATGCAAATATTTGTTGCAGTTTCTGCCTAACTGTGAAAATGTCAGCAAATGCATGAAGTATTTTTTAAATTAATTGATTTTGTTGCCATTGCAGTCGGATAAGCACCTGTACATACACACACACACACACCTTGTGTTCGTCCTTTGCCCTTGGGCAAAGTGCCATTGTGAAATGGTGCCTTGGTGCTGGCTTTGTGCAGCAGCAGCGCAGCTTCCGTTCGTCGTCAACTTTGATGCCTCGCCCTCCCCCGGCTCGCCTTGCTCAGTTTCGTTCTCGATTTGATTATTCCGCCGGGTGATTTGCATTTTGTGCCGTGCTCCGTTGCATCCTTCGAGTCGGATGGCATTAATCAGAAACAACTGGCTCAAGGACGGACCCAGCATCCCGCTAGGTATCTGTCTGCCTGTCTCCCGAGTTGGCCTGCTTTCTTTTTTTTTTTTTTTTCTTATTCCAGCATTTGACAATAAAATCAAATGATGCGGGCATCGTAAAGCTTCGCGCCTTTCGCGTTTTCTATGTATGCCTGTCTGTGTCGTAAAAGTCTACACGTTACCGTCATTACGTTATGTATCGTATTGCCATTTTTGTCCCCGGCTCGGTAAATCCCCGGACTATAGACCGCGAACCATGTGGCCCCATGGAGCATGGCTTTCTGGCCGCCGCTTTGTGGCTGTTAAAGCGGCATAAATGATTCTCGTTTCGCTCCTTTTGCTTTCGCTGCAAATGACTCAAAATATTTTTTTCCGCCATGTGCAAAATCGGTGAAAATCTAATAAAAAAAAAAAAAAATGTTTCAAAAACCCGAAGTGCGGAGATATGGGGCTGGGAAAATATTTATGGGTATTTGCTTTTGATATTTATTCAATGGTCTATTGTTTGCCGATAAGCTGTGAATAGTTTTTTGTTTTCTTTCCTCTTTTTTTTTTTATTATTTTCTCGCCGTTGTTTAGTCAACAGTTAGTTAGGGTCGGAAAAATTCTGAAAATTCTAGGGATAAAAAAAAGTGAAGGATGCCAGTCGAACGTTGATCTAAATTGCTAAATGGTTTAGTTTTTCAAGATTTTTTAAAGCTTATGTATCCTTTGGGTTCCTTAAGCTCATAGAACTTTAATTTCTCCCTATTAACCTCTGTCAAGTAATTGTAAATATGTTTATTTATTAAAAATACCTAAGTATTTCTTAACATTTGAGAAATTGTGTTAAACATTAGCTAAACACCACTTCGATTTGTAGTCTTTTCCTCAAGCAATGTGCAATTTTCTGAGCATATGTAAGTGGCATGTGGACTGAGAAAAGCCATTTATTATATGTATTGTATTTTGTGCATTTTCCACAAGGTCATGATGCATTTTGTCTTGAAATTTGGCGTTTTTTCCTTTAAGTTTTATTTTGGAAACAATGAGAAGGCAAAGAATATAAAGGTGTGTTTTTTTTCAATTGCTGTTAAGATACAGTTTAATGTTTTTTCTACATTTATTTTAAGTAAATAAATGCCAGTTTTCTGTATTTTCATAAACTTAAAGTAGAGTAAACAAAACTCTCAAAGCTGTTCCCAAAAGGAGGAATACTTAAGCGAAATTTACATACTCTCTTTGTACGGTATTCTCGTGCCTTGTCTTATTTATTTTTTGTTGTGCTTAAATTTCGCACAACACACATTGGGCCCTGGCACATTCCATGTACTTACCTTGTGCCACTCGAGTTTATCATGCATTAATTAACGATTCAATCCAACATCCATCGCAGCAGCTCTCTTGAGCCGTGCGAACGGCGAGCACACAAACTCGAGCGGATGGCTTGCACTGCATTTGGATAAGTTGTACTTGAGCACACTACAAATAACCAGCAATGGGGATATTGGATAGTGGATGGGCACTAGTGCTGCCAAAGTAACACTTTCTTTTTTAATTGTTGAAGAGTTAAAATGTACCTAGGTGGATAAAGGAAACTAAAGCTAAAGCCAAACTTCAACATCGGATTACTTATACCTTAAGTTATAGAATTCAAAAAGGGTCTAGTTTCGTTAAAATTCTCAACAAGAAAGTTAGTTAGTAAGGATCCCGTACCACTGAAGCCAGAACATCTTTTATAAAAATCTTTTCTTTTCATTAACGTTAGTCTAAGAAGGTATCAAATATTCTTACTAAAAATAGTACCCAATTTGTACCTAAACAAATAACTCTCCTATGCATTCAGGTACACCTACCTGATGAGGTACATCATCTCTATCCCCCAATGGGTGGCGGAAGTCCGTGGTTGTGCCGTTTCTAAATCACAAACACTGACACACACTCGTTCACGCAGCTGCATATTGACTTCCGCTGGGGTTGGGCGCGTGATTGAGCCAATGAGTGATTGGAGAGCTGTGAATGATTGAAGGCCTTTGTCTGAGTGTAATTTAATTAAACAAATCAAAGTTGTGCGACGGAGAGTGGGGCGGAGGTATGGAAGAGGAGTGTTTTTCTGTTAATTGAAAATGCGTCCAGCGAACGCGAACAAATATGCCGACAGCTTCGAGGGTTGGGTGATGTTTTTTCCCCGTTTTTCCGGGGCCTTAAATAATTAACCGGGAAATTCGCACACACACACTCGCTCGACCGCGAGGCAGAGCCGCCTTTTAGGCGGTTTATTATTTCACATTTTGTCAGAATTTGTGTTTTGTAATTGTGTTTGTTGGCGCTTGTTCTATTTGTGTTTAATTATTTGCACCAGCACCTCGACAAAAATGTTATAAATACTAAATACTTACGCATGGTTAAATTTTTTTTGTTTTTCCCAACTTCCGGTCGAGGCGTGCTCCGCAAAAAAAGCCTAAAATTAAATGTGTACAGGCACTCACAAATATATATTCGTATAGGTATACATAATATGTACGTGTGCACTTTGCTTTATTAGAAATAACAAACATTTAAGTGGTTTTTATTTCAAGGCAAATAAAAAAAAGGGGGAATAAAAGCGAAAAGAGGAAAATAGAATTGTATTAAAGTCCCATAAATGGGAAACTTTTTAGGCACATTTAATATTTTAAAAGGTTTAAAAAAGGTTTAAGACAACTATATTTTTTGTTTCTTTCTCTGCTTCTAAATTATCTCTCCTCTCTTTTATTTTACTTATATATTTTAAACTTGAAAATAAATTAATAATAATCATAAATGCTACTTAACATTTTCAAGTCTTTAATGTTTCTGAATAACTTTCGCTTTGTCTTGGGCCAGTGTCCTGTGAAATATCCTGGTTAAGCGACGAAGCCTAACCCATTTACCGAACACGATAACTTGGCTTTGATGCATTCGGGCCACTTGCAGCTGCCGTTGACACATTTTCCGCACAAACACACATCCATACACGAGCCAGTCATTAGGGGAGTGATGAAAACAAAAGAATTTGCTGGGCTCTCTGCATGGGTCCTTGCAGGACGAGCCGCTTTATTGAAAACTTATTCGCCAGCAGCAGCAGCAGCAGCAGGGCTGCAATTAACAACAACAGCAGCCGAGTTTGATGCACTAAGAAATGGAGATGTGGAGATGGAGACGGAGACGGAGACCCAGGCAGAGATGGCGACAAAGTGGATTTAATGCCGAAAGGGTCCAAGCACAAGGCAAGTAAGTTTTATGCAAATTGCATGTAGCATAGACCCAGCGGACGGGGCGCAAAAAAGATAAATTACTTTTAAAGTGCGCAGAGGCAGAAATTGTCTCTATGCTTCTTCTCCGGAATTCTCAGAGCACCCGGCTGGCTCCCGGCTACTGTGGATCCCTCTTCCCTGCATTCCATACACGATACGATATATATACACCCGTACTGCTTCATCGGCCCGAAATGCAAATGGTTCTCAGGGCTTCCGGACAACTCCCGGACTTTGGATGATGACTTTCTGATTTGCTTCGGCAAAACAGAAACAAGTTTCCCCCCTCAAAATGTGCAAGTTTTTAGATAGTTTTGCCTTTTGGGCTTTTCTGTTTTGCCAGCTTGTATATTATTTGTTAATTGATATGTCGCAAAAAGTTTATGCCATGTGTGAGAGGCAGGAGGAGGATGGGGAGGCAACTCCATTTGTTGTTAAACTTTGTAATGCTCGAATCATTGCAAAGCTTTTAAAAATAGCCAGAATTTTCCTTGGTTCACCAATATCTCGAGACTTCGATTGGGAATTTCGGTAAAATTGGTTTAAGGAAAACTAATGGAAGTTATTTTGCTCTTAACCGCAAAAGCAATTTATTAGCAAAGAGTTTTAAAATTGATTTTAGTTTAAGGAAATTCTCAAAATAGAACGAAAATTGCAGAAAGGAATATATATGGAAATATATACCATATTTATTGGTATTTTATCAATATTTTAACATTGCCATATATAACCGATAAATCTTTATTTTGTTTTATATATAATCTGTATAAAACTCAGATTATTTTAAATAAGGGTTTTCAGGTATATTTTAGAAATAATGATATTTCAACATTATTTTCTATTTCTTTTCTTCAATTTCATCAACCTAACCTAACCTAATAATCCCCTTTGTTTTATAAAATTACCTTATAAAATTAATATCTAAAATAATTTAAAGTTCTCTCAGATTTTTATCCCAAGTGCATCTTAAAGTAATCACTTTATAATTTCCCATATGCCCCAAGAGCAGGAATAATCCAATTGTGCGAAGCCAGAGGAACGCCTTTTTGCTCGAAAAGTTATTGGACATGGAACTCCTGGCAGGAACTCCTGGCAAGGGTTTTTGTGTCGAGTTCAGCAGAAACCAAGGAGAACTGCTGGGACCACAGGTGCACCTGGCTCCAAGTTAGTCTTGTCCGGGCATCGGGGGTTTGTTTAACTATTTTCTATTCATTTATGCATTTTGCTAATAAAAATTTCGTTTTTGCTTAACTAAGTGAAACGAAAAGGTTAAAGGGACTTCAGAGGAAGTGACCGAACGAACGAGCGAACAATGGGAGCGCAAGGAGTCCGAGTCCTTTATCTCGGCCGACTGTTTTTTGTTCGGTCAAGCCTTTACACAGTGGTCCCTGCCTAAACGAGACTGTGCTGGAACTACAGTTATGATAGACATCAGATTTGGGTATTATTTTCGCTTGCCAGGCTCTGGTCCTGGCACTGTACATCCGTTTTTGGTGGCCGTCGTTGTCTTCTTGCCGCCTAGATAACATTTCCGTCATTCCCTTTTGTTGCTCCTTTCTGGTTCCTGTTCGTTTGCAAACATTTTTTAAATTGTTTGCTGTAATTTGTTTCCGGACCCGGGACAATAACAACAAGAGCAGCAACAACAAATGCAAAAAAAAATAAAAAAGATATAGGCAAATGGCCGGGGTCCTTGCGCCATTTTTTGGCAGTCGCCGCTGCCAACCGTCGCCGTGGGTGTTTGTGTTGGCCACGCCCGGAACGTACTAGCAATATTTGCAGCATTCGTTTTGTGTGTTTTATGATTAAAAAATTATAATTTCGATATTTGTCTGACGCCGTCGACGCCTTGCTCAGCACGTTTCATTTCGATTCGTCCTGGAACGGCGACAGCTGTATGTATGTGAGGGAAGTATCGAGAGAATATGAGAGGACATCCGTTATTGTATAACGAAAAAAACTATTGCGATTAATATTATTTAAAAAGTATCTTTAATTTTTATTTATCTAATATATAAATATCGACAAATTTCTCATTAAAATATCGACCTCAAAGCAAAATATCCCAATAATGGTATTATATTTCATTTATTATCTCTTTTAAGTATTTAATTCACTTTTATGATTTGATTTATATATCGACTTTTTTTGTATACCGATATATTATAGACTTTTGTATAGTATAGATCCTCTTTTTCCGCCAATTAATCGTTAGTATCCTCTACTAACAAAAATATTTTCCCTGACCCGAATCAACCTCCTTTCTGCACGTTCCCGTGACTTTTAGTAGTTTGACTTTTTCTGTCGAGGATTTATTGGGGAAACTCGTAAATATATATCTATGCAAATGTTTTACAGCTGTCACCAAAATGCCTCATTCAAGCGACGAATAAAAAATATTTTTATTTGGCTTTTACTTGTTTTCGCTCAATTATTAACAATTACATGGAGTTTAAATTTTGGCAATTAAGGGGATGTTAGCTTAAACTAGTTTATAGTTGTAATCAAAAGTAGTTTTATTTATATTTTGTTTGTAATTAAATTGTGCAAAGTTTATTAAGTGCTGTTGACACAAAATATCAATATGAAAAATCACCTTTAAACACTTTATTTGCTTTAAAAGGAATTCCATTTGCACACGCACTTTATGTAAACTTTTAATTGCCTTTAATATGTTTTCCCTGAAACCTTGACGTCATTTTCTGTGAATATCTAAAATAATAACAAGTTTAAATAAAAGTTTGGCCACGTGCTGCCTTTGAAAGCTCTTGGAAGTCACGTAGCAGGCTGACTCAACACGAAAATAATAAAAAAATATGTGAAAAACAACCATTATCTCATAATATCTAGTTCAAAAATAGTAAAATTAGAAGGCTTAGTTAAAATTAAATTACATTTTTAATTAAACAATACTAAAAACATAAAAATCTGAATGTAATCTCATTTTGCCAGCAATTTTTCAGCTTGATTTCAGCGGATTCGGTTGCAATTCGTGCTTGGCTTATATACGTCATTAAAAATCAGAACCTCGACTCGCGGCACATCACGTAGAAGTGTTTGGAATGGTTTTCAGTTTGAAATTGCACTTGCTTGGGAATAGACGTAAATCCAACCGGGAGAATACTCCAAAAAACATAACCGAAAAAACAATGAGTTATTTTTTGCATTTCAAGCTGCTCGTCCTGTACAGCTTTTGCGTCCATCGTTCGGAGTCCTTCTCCCAGAACGATGTTGTGTTTCTGGAAAAGTCCCCTTCGTGGGAGGACGACCTGGACTGGAGCCGGGCCAACTGGCGGCTGGTTGTGCCCTGGCTGATGCAGCGCCAGGAGCTGCGCTTCTGCGTGGCCCTGGCCAGGTTCGACGAGCGCCTGCTCCAGGGCACATCCTGTGGTCTGCTGATGGCGAACAAGCCGCTGATGGCCAGCTGCGACATTGGCAACATCGAGGACCTGACCATGACTATGCGGTATGCCTTTGGCGAGCTGCTATTCGATACCAGCCGCCGGTGTCGTCCTGGCCTGGAGCTCTTCGGGGTTCGGTGCCGGCGAAGGGCCTGAGTTTTTGGCGGTTTTTCGAGGGAAGTAAAGACTAAGGCTTAATATTTTTGGATATTTCTTTGGGAACTTAAGTCTAATAAGGTTAAATATACATAAAAGAGTACTCCTTAGTTGAAATTTAAATAAAATGAAACTGTTTTAGTTTAAGAATAATTTTAGATATATAAAAACTTTTATTAATTAAAGGTTATTGAATGAACATTTTTATTACAGGCCTAGGAAAATTCGTAAAATATATTCTTATGTTTGGAACAGATATTGAACTATTTTTTTTTGTCTCTATAGTTAATAACTTTATATTTATTTTCAATGAACTTGGATTTATAAACTAAATTAATTAAATACTTCTTTATTTATAAGTTATTAATCAAAAAACTGTCTTCAATAATAGCCTTTTTCAAACGGAAACATGTAAAGTTGATTAGCGCCTTGCCAGCTTTCCATTTTTGGTTTTTTATCAACCTAGTAATTGTACTCATTTCATCTCCTAAGTGCATTGCTAATTCACTTTATAAAGTCATTTTTCATCGTTGGCATTGCTGTCCCCCTGCCAGTGTCATTTCAATGTGTCAATAAAAATCAAAAGGGGAGAACTTCACTCTTCAGCCTGTTCTAAAACATCCTGGCTCGCTAACTGGGTGAAGGACTGAGAGTCCGAGAGGAGAAGGAGGAGTCGTTCGTCCTCCTGACAAATGGCGATTATAATTTGTAAAATGCGCCCATCTTGTTGTCCCCGCCCCCGATATGTTCGACTTGTGGCCTAGTTGTTGCCCAGCGGCCAGCATTTTTTCTCCCCCCCATTTTCCATTTCCCATTTCTCCTCGTATTACCACACCCATTTCTGTTTCTGTTGCAGCTTGCTTCTCCGCTCTCGGATTCAGTTTAGTTCATGGCAATTGTTGTTGCAATTAGCAGAGGCACGACTGATGGCTTCAATGGCAAAAATTCACATTGCAAATGGGTCCGGGGGGTGGCTGGGGTAATGCCTTATTGTTGCTTCTGTTAATTACCGGACAGTGTTTAAGCGTTCAGCATCCATAGAGATTTTTCCGAGATGGAAACATCTATGCTGTTCAAGCAGCTTCTCCTGGGGGCCTTTGATCGATTTTGGGTGACACCTTTTGGATGAATGAAAGAGTTGCATACACTTGGGCCAAGATGTCAGCAAGAATAATTGGTTTTCTAAACAGTTTGGAATGGAAATTAAAGCTGGAGAGATCTTAAATCTTAAATCTTATTAGAAAATATGGTTTTTAAGGAATATTTAAAAGAAATCAGGAGCTATTATGGATCATTTTCTGCCCCTTTTTTCAGGTTTCTTATTAAACTTGACTTAATTTTACATGGTTCTTGGTTCTTTTTATGTTTTAAACTTCATTATATACCAAATGCAACTCACTTTCCTTTTTTTAAAAACAAAAATAATCATATAGTACCTGAAATGAAACCCCTTTCCTCCTCCAACTTTAAACGTTTATCTGCCACTTTCAAGGACTCTTCAAACAGCAGCAGCTGCCCGCCCAAATTATGGCCAACGTTAGCTACAGAACATGCGAAAAGCTAAATGTAAATTAATGAATTGTTTAAAGCACTTAAAATATTTACGCTCAAAGCAAGTGGATGAGTGCCGGCCACGCCTACAATCCAGGAGAAGCTGGGAACGCGGACGGAGTGCCCACCAACCAATGAATATGCAAACGATTCCGCCACCCATGGCCGCCACTCCCATTGCCCAAGTTCGTTAAAAACGCAGCATAAGGTCAAGGGGATAATGCTAGGGCCAAGAGCGAATAGGCGGAGGAAGAACACTGATCTTAGGATATGTATTTCCTCTGAGAAAATATATTAAAAATTAAATTTAATATTATTTTAGGGGAAATTTAAGGATTGTTTGTCTTAAAACATTTTATTTTGTAATTTGTTTTTATTTTTAAAATATTTTTACCTGGTTATTAAGCTTCTTTGTACCACTGTGCGTATACGCATTGCTGTTGTCGAACGGTCATTAAGGCGGCGAATAGAGAGCTGAGCTCGCTGTTTGCTCAACGAGCAACAAGGACACTACTGGCAACAGCTTGTCCTGTCCCGGCCGTAGTCGTAGTCCTGCGCTGAACTGCTGACTGTTAATGTGCAGACCCCCCAGTCTCCTCACACAGCTACCTCCCTCCCTTCACTGTACAATATGCATAAACAAATGAAACGAACTGACTTTGCTACTTGCTCTGGCTGCCGCTGTTTGATGCGATGCAGATGCAGTTGCAGTTTCCCTGCCCCGCCCAGCGACCAAGTTCAGCTGGAGTAATTAAATTTTGCTCGAAATTCCTTGAATTTTCTTCTTTGATTTCGAATGAGCTCAGATTCCCTCAGTTTCCCCCAGATTTCCTCAGATTTCTCGCCTTATTTGCATTGAAAAAGTGAAAAATCTATTAATGGGGATGGTAATAATTTATGCAGCACTCTCTGACTCCCAATATCGAGCCAACTTCGATTCGGGGCAAATGAGATCAAGCCAGATTGCAATCACAACCCGAAAGCCAGCAAGCTCCCTTTTTGCATGTCCTGTGATTGCGGCGTGGCGGCGGCAAGGGACACAACAAGCTGGTAAACCGGCAAACTGGAAGCAAATTGATTGCATTATCGAGGAGAAACTGGGCGAATGAGTGACATGAGAAGGCAAAGGATCCAAGCCATAAAAGTTCGTTGCTTTCACGCAAACATATTTAAGGATGCCCCAGGACACTGGCTCACTTGTACATAATAATAATAATAATGGGAGGAATGGTGGGGGCTCCAAGGCAACCGACGAAAATGTTTCAGGCGGGTTTTGAAAATTATTTTGAATTTATATTTTATTCTTACATTTATATTAAAAATATGTAAAAAATAATATAAACCCCGGAGATCTGTTGAAATTATTTAATTCTATTTATTTTTAGAATGTTCGTAACAGAAATTTTCCAGCTGAAAAGGCAAGTATTTCGCGTATTTTATATTCCATGGCAGCTTCAGCTCTGCCACTTGTTCGGCATTAAATAAAAGGACTCCCTGCACGATTCTGGCGATTATCGTTCGTTTACCTTAACATTTTTCCGTCCGCTCGGGTGGATAGCCAGGGGGATCGATGCCGACGGGCGTGTCGGTTGGCTGTGGCCAGGATATGTGTGTGTGTGTGCGTCTGTGTATGAGCTTTGTGCTCTTCAAGGCTCATTTATGGCCCACATCGCTGGTCACTTTTTATGCATTTTCCCACGCTGTTTACTTTGTGTATAAACGAGTGGCACTTACTTATTTTGTGCCACATAATGAGCGCTCCCAATGGCCGCTTATAAATTATAAAGCTCCCGCACACACACACGCATCCTGCTGCAGTGCAATAAACTCACTGTGCCCGCCCACACAATTTGATTTGTATGGCTTTTCAATTTGTGCTCCTCCGGTGCTGCCTTCCTTTCGTTCCTTTCGTTTGCCTTCTCGCATTTCCTCTTTGCTGCATTTGCCATTGTATAAATTTTTGGTATTTGCGCCAATTTCATTCCAAATTGAGCGCTGCCCACAGTCGTTTATTTTTAATGCATCCCAACCGTACCCAGCCCCAGCGAAGCGAGACGAGAGGAAGCAATATGGCCAGACCACGGGCGGCTGCCCTGGCAGGTCCTGCTCCTGGTAGGGTCAGGTGGGGCTCTGGGAAAACTACAAGCATCAGAAGTTGAATTTTTCGCCAGTTTTCCTTATTTTCCTCATTTTTTTCCAACTCTATTGTGTACTGGCCAGAGTAGGGATTTGAGCTTGATTTGGTTATATGCTCTTTTAGAACACGGAACAGATGTGTTGATGTGACCCAAAAAATATCTGTTATAGATAGAGTATGTATGCCATTGTAATCCCCAAAAAGTAAGCCCTATGCCCACGAAATCCCATATTTTTTCAATTTAGTTGTCTGTATTATTTGCAGTGTGCATTTTGGACATTGTGCTGCCAAACACTCGGCACTGCAGGACACTCAGGCGAATTGCAATGCGAGGAGCCTGGAATTTCCAGGGGGCAGGCGAGGGATTAGTAGGTAGTAGTAGGAAGGAGTCCAAGGAGGGCCGCAAGTGCGCTCAAGATTTATGGCTCAGGATTCCTTGTGGTCCTTGGGCTGCAGGGCCATCAAATACAATCAAATTGATTGCCTTTTTTTTACGGAACAACTGTGCGAGTGTGTGTGTGTGTGTGGGCGTCAGTAATGCGATTTTGATTTTTTATTAATTCCCTTCCATTTGCAATTAGTTAATGAGTGGCCCCGGGGTCACACGATACACAGGCATAGAATGGGGCCCAAATAAATAACAAAATGGCGTTCTTCAATATCCGGCCAGCGGAAATTTCAATAAGGCCGAGCCTCCGAGGATGTAATCAGGATATGAGCTCCAATGACTGGACGAAAACTGTGTGTGGCAATCAAAAATCCTGTCTACTGCGGGGGGTGGCAACTGTCTGTGGGCGTGGCAAGTTTTGAATTAGTTGCGCCGAGAATTTTCTGCATAAATCATTTCCTGTTTGTGTCAAGGCAACGCAGGGCCAAGAAGCGGAAGATAAAAGCTTTGCAAAAACAGGGACTACAACAAAAAAAGAGAGAGATGAAAAACGAACGAAGCGACAAAATGACATGACAAAGTCAAAAAGACGAACACAAAAAACAAGGGCAAGACAAAGCAAACAGCAACAATAACATTAAATTAGCATTTTTTATTACTTGTAGTTTTCTTTGCCCTTTTGTACATTCCATTGTATGTGTGTGTTCCTTTTTTTTATTCCTTTTCATTGCCAGATATTTGCATAAGTTGACACAAGAAGCTACTAAGTAATATTGCGCATTCGACATGTTGGCCGCGCGACTTTAAGGCCGCGCGCACACTACGAGCGGAAAGCGGAGTTGACGGCTGAGCTTATCAGCGAGCTTATCCGCAGAGAGCTTATCAGCGAGCTGAGCTTTTTGCAGCCGCGCACACTGCGAGCTGAAGCTGACGCTGAATTGTTATGAGAAATTAATTGTTTTTCAAGCAAAACAAACATTTTTTAATTCTTCAATATATACAAAAAAAAAAACAGTTATTGCGATGACCTATTTATTTAGATCATCATGTCATTTAAATTTTCGAAATCGGCCCACC